CATGGAACGTAGATGGCGATTTTCGGTCCAACCGAGACCCCGCGGTTCCTCTGTTGCCCTGAACTCTTCCACTCCTCAGGCCACAACCTCAAGGCGAGAGGAGGGGCAGGAAGGGGAAGAGGTATCGGACCTGAGAGATCCACCTCAATGCACTCTCATAAATGTGACCTCACCGAACTTCACGCTGAATCTCTACCCAGTTCAGGAGACTACGGAAACTATGGCAGACTCAAGCCAAGAGGAGACGCCCGAACAGGATGCTGGCCGACCAATGAACACAGTGCCTGTGTAAGTATGATGCTTTGCAGAACTTTATTTATAATATGTATGTTCCAGCCTCTTTTCTTCCGACATGATGACGATTACCTTCTTGAGGGTTTGTATTGTCTAGCGGTCATTCTTCTTGTATCAAGTTTGGATTAATAAATAACCGTTGAATGACTTAATTTCCTATCTGGAGTTAGGCGTAGGCTGAAGAGACTGGTGGGTCAGCGGTTAACTGCGACATGCTCCTTCTGCCTCCGACCGCTATTCTCGATTTCTGTATGGTGCCAGTAAGCGAAGACTCGAAAACCACAGTGGTAATTGACGATCACATTAACCGTCCTTTATAGCGTCCGTGACCTATCAAGCTCGAAGTACAGGCGACCACGAATGAATTGACCATTTTCTTTTTAACCGTGAGCAACACGAGTCTGTACGATGTACAGCAGTAATACTACGTTCCTAGGCCCCCGCGAATTTTGAAAATCAGCGACAGCTAACAAGGGCCTATGAACGTCTATCTTCATAGGTTAACCACTTCCTCAAAACATTTCCCATTCATTTCAAAATGGATGGTATCATTTGCCATGTCCTCTTAAATGTCGCAGATAAAATTAAACATACACACCATATAGTGCATATATATGTACAGTGAGATACTATGCATACTATACACATACGCCTATCGCAGGGGATTAAGTGAGTCTAACCGTGCAACTGCAATCTTCAGACCATGGCTACTTAGTGGAGAAGAGAAGTCTTTAAAGCCCAGAGTAGTAGGAAGAATGTATTGTGTACACAACGCAGAGGAGAGTAGATGAGAGTAGATTGACTCGGGAGAGACACGTCCGATCAGTAGGTTGACCAGTCCCAAGTGGGGTCTTAGAGTAGTCGGGCCAGAAGACAGAGAGAGGGAGATCTTTCATTGGC